CGGCACCGGCCTGGGGAGATGCCCGCGGGACATGAGGAGGAGAGAAAACAACTTGCCGATTAATATATGTAATGCCCCAGTTAAGTTAAAAAACAAAATGGGGCCGACCGGGAAGCCTGAGCATGTATGTTCACATGTGTACAGGGAGGTCGGGGCGGCGCCCGCCCGTGGGGACAGCGGAGGAGCTTCTCCTGGGGCAGAGCTGGAGCACCACTTTTTTATTGTATTTATTAGGGTGACATTGGTTAATAAAATTATATAGATTTCAGGGGTATAATTATATAATTGACATTCCGTGTATTGTGCCATGTGTTCAGCACCCAAGTCAAGCCTCCTTCCGTCACCGTTTATCCCCCTGCACCCTCTTCTCCGCCCCCCCCACCAGCTGTCACCACATAGTTTGTCTGCGTCTATGAGGGGTTTTTTCTTTGCTTAATCAATCCCTCTCCTTTTTCACTCAGCCCCCAACCCTCCTCCCCTCTGTTGGCTGCCAGTCTGTGCTCTGTATCTGTGAGTCTGTTTCTATTTAGATCTAGTTTATTTCATTTATTAGATTCCACATGTAAGTGAAATCATATGGTACTTGTCTTTCTCAGACTGGCTTATCGCTTGACAGATTTTGAAGACTCCATTCCATACCAAAAAAGAAAAAAGAATGTAAATAGTTTCTTAATAATTTTTTTATATCAATTGCATGTTCAAACAATATTTTGCATATATTGGGATATCCAATATTGGGATAAATAATATATATTAAAATTAATTTTGCGTGATTATTTTTACTCTTTAGAACTGTAGCTATCAGGCCATTTAAAATTGCGTGGCTTGTGTAATGTCTTTATTGGATAGACTGATCTGAAGGAAAAGTACTAGTATAATTTTCTTCCCTTAGAAGTAATTGGATTTTTTTGCCTGGATGCCTGTTTTTCTTTAAAACTTTTAAAATATATATTTATTTTACTTTTAGAGAGAGATGAAGGGGAGGGAGAAAGAGGGAGAAAAACATCAACGTGTGGTGGTACATCAATCGGTTGCTTCTCACACCCCCCACAACCGGGGACCTGGTGCCACCCAGGCACATGTCCTGACTGGGGATTGAACTGGTGACCTTTCTGTTCACAGGCCGGCACTCAGTCCTCTGAGCCACACCAACCAGGGCTCTTCAATAGTTTTTAAAAAAATTTCAGTGCTCACTTTGACAGCACATACACTAAAATTGGAACGATACAGAGAAGATTGGTACGGCTCCTGCGCAAGGAGCATTCATGACACGTTCCATATTTTTTTAAAAAAGAAAAAAGCATTTTTAAATTATTGTTGACATACAATATGATATTAATTTCAGATGTACAACACAGTGATTAGACATTTATATGCCTTACAAAGTGATCACCCCAATAAGTCTAGTGCCCACCTGAAGTTATTGCAGAGCTACTGACTGTATTCCCTGGCGGTACGTCACGTCCCTGTGACTATTTTTATAACTGGCAGCCTGCCCTTCTTAATCCCTTTCACCTCCACCTTTTCGCCTGGCCCTGGATGCTGGCCTTGTACCAGTGTTGGTCATTCTGGGACCTTACAGGATTTTTTCCTTGACCTCGAGTTTTACTGTGGTAAAATATCTATAAGATTACACCTACCACCTTAACCATTTTTAAGTGTATAGTTCAGTAGTGTTAAGATTGCTAGAACATTTCTTTCTTGCAAAACTGAAAATCTATACCCTTTAAACACTCATTCCCCTTCTCCCTCCCACTTGTCCCTTATGTTTTAAATGTAATTTTGGAGGGCTGTGTATGCCGCATCTTCCTTCCTTTCCTAGCGTTATTGAGGTGTAATTGAGATGGAACGTTGTGTAAGTTTTAGGCGTCCAACATGATCACTTGATAGAGATCTTGCAGAATGATTACCACGAGATGTGTCTTCTTAAAGCCCACAAAGAATTCTGAATATGAGTTTGGGTTAGGAATTCGAGCTAAAGCCCTGGCCAGTGTGGCTCAGCTGACTGGAGTGTTGTTCTGTAACTGAAGGTTGTCAAGTCAGGGCACATACCTGGGTGGCGGGTTCGAGCCCCGGTCCGGGAAGGTATTGTCCCCTGTCTGGTGTGTATGGGAGGCAGCCAGTCCCTATTTCCCTCTCTCCTTTCCTGTCTCTCTAAAAGCAATGAAAAAATGTCCTCGGGTACAGATATATTAAAAAAAAATACAGCTAAATAATAATGGAAAACTTGTCTTTCGTGTACGAGTCACACATATTTTTTCCTTTTAGCAAATAGGCAATGAAGCATTTTGGTACCATTCTTTTTCCGGCTGCCATTTATGATCTTAGAGTGCAGTTCATGCTAAGGATGGGCACAGGTTGTCCAAAAGGCACTTTTTCAGGAGCTGTTGGCGTGTTTGGTGTTGGCATGCGCTCAATCCCTCTGGCTTGTGCCTGTGGGCGGGGTCAGATGGCCAGAAAGCTGTACCCAGACTGCACATGGGGGGTTTGCTTCTTTCTCTTGGTCTCATTGGGGTGGGTTTTTCGGGGCTCCATTTCAAAGAAAGGAGAAGGCAAAATTTTGGTGCGGCTTATTTTTCCTTCTAACGGATGAGCCATTCCTTTAAGTGCACCGCGGAGATCTGCTTTTTAAAGGAACTTTGCGTTGATGCTTCTACTGAAATGAAATAATTCTTTTTTCATCTGTGAATTCTTGACCCTAATTTTTTAAAAAATATTTTATTTATTTATTTTTAGAGGGGAAGGGAGGGAGAAGAGAGGGAGAGAAACATCAATGTGTGGTTGCCTCTGGAGCACCTCCTACTGGGAACCTGGCCTGCAACCCAGGCACGTGCCCTGACGGGGAATCGACCTGGCGACCCTTTGGTTCGCAGGCCGGCGCTCAATCCACTGAGCCACACCAGCCAGGGCTTCACCCTAATTTTTGGTCCTTGTGTATTTGGGCTCTTGATTTTTGATGTAAGGCAAAACTATGGTGAGCTCTAACGCTATATTCTTGATCATTTCTTTTAATATTATGGCAAAAAGGGGGACATTTCCAATGGAACCCTGGCGCCTTCTTTAACCCTTTAGCCTCCCTCCCTCCCCCGTACCATCAGTGCTGTTTTCTGGCTGGGATTCCGGGAGCTGATTATCCAGGCATGTCACTGTCCCCACACCCCTCGCCCGACTGCTCACCGGTGTCCCACACTGAACTTGCCCTGCACCACGCCAGGCCCCAAACCTGCTGCTCTCTGTTACTTATTCACGATTTGGGCAAGCCATCCAGCCATGTGAACCCTTTAACTTTTCTAACTTCACCTAATGCATAATAAATACATAATTTCTAATGTATAGAAAATATATTTCACTGAGGCTCCACTGTAAACGGCTTACAGGGTTTGAGCCGGCTGTTTCTCCTTAAGGCGGCAAGGCCCCTCCCTCTGTATAAATTATGCACTCGGAAAATAGGGCCCGCCCGCCCTGGGCGTGAATAATTGAGATGAGGCTCTCCTCAGCGAGGACTTACACACTCCTCTCCCGGCACAGGGCTGCCCTGCGCATTTTTCAGTTTTGATGGGTGGCCGTCAGGGCCTCCTCGGGGATCGCGCTGATTGGGGTGGCTAGGCAGCTTTTCTGGCTTGTTGTTTAATTAAAAAATGGCCTCACTGTGTGGTGAGTGATTTTATCCAAGTCGTTTTGTCTAAAAGGTGTTTCTGGACTAAAGCTCCCTGTGTCAAGAATCCGAAAGTTGAACGTTTGGTTCGGTTTTTCTGTTGGAATTGTCCCCGCCTTCCTTCCTGTGGCTCCTTCACAGGCTGACAGCGGGTCGTCTGATTTTTGTAGGGTTTGCTGTGACCCTTCCACGAAAACTAAAGCTGATCCAGGGAGTTTCATCTGCATCCTAGCTGACACACACACACACACGCCCAGGAGCCTTTGGACATTCCATAGTTTCTCTGTATCAGTCCAAGAGTCGGGGCATCCGAGAGCGTGGATGCGGCTCACCGCCTGCGCGTCCTTCGCCCCGGGCAGCTCCGGGTCACGGGAGGACGAGAACGTGGAAGTCCGGGTGAAAGGACCTTCATTTCACCATCAAAGTGGGACCGAATTCCCAGGTGGACTCTGCAGAGTCACCCGAGCCTCCCGTGGTGGCCGGTCAGTGCCACCATGTGCCGGCTCAGCACCCGGCTCGGTCTGGAGGCGGCTGCTGAGCATTCTGACCCATGCCTGCTGATGGCACCTGGTTTTTGCAGTGTAGGGCAAAGGGGCCTGTCGCCACTGATACCCCGCAACCTTGGCCACTGGCACGGTTAGTGAATTTTGAGACAGGGGAGGGCGCGGGTGGCTTCCTTTCATAGCGCTGAACTGCATCCAGCGGAACCCCGTACCCTACGTGCGAGCGCCGGGCACAGCCAGGGCCAGCTGTGTCGCTGCCACGTGCCGTTCAGCGGTCTGTTAGAAGCACGCGAGAAACATGAAGAGCCTTCGTGTAGAGGGCTATGGGGGGGGTCACACACATGGTGTCAGGGAGGTGGGGGGCACTGAGGTTTCTTTGTGTGGGGGTATTGGCTGACTTATGAAAAGGAGGCAGAGGAATGTGAGTCTGTGCACAGGCCTGTCCCTGTGGCTAAGATCCCTGAATACGCGGAGGACAGAAAATAACCACTTCGACGGTAAGGGGGAAAATCAGAGACACAGCTCATCTATGTGTTTGATGTGCACCGTGCCGCCTTCTGATGTTCTGGCTGATGGTGTCAGAGATGGGTCAGGGCGAAGACTGAATTAAGAATGTCAAAAGGAGAACAACGATCTATTTGATGTTTGGCATCTTCCGTTCTCACTGGTATCATTTTGCTTATTTATTTTGTGCCATTGCCCCGGATCAAGAGGAGAGAGCTCTCCCGGGGTTAGCAAGTGCTCCAGTTATTTGTCTGCAGGGCTAACGTTTTTTCAGTCGGCACTTCCGCTTGATTTAGTCTGACTGGTTCCATGTGGTCTTTCTGTCTCCCCGTCTCTAGGAAGCTATTTTGCCAGCCACTTCATCATGGGAGGAGAGAAGTTTGACTCAACTCACCCCGAAGGCTACCTGTTTGGAGAGAACAGCGACCTGAACTTCCTGGGGACCAGACCAGTAGCGGTAGGCCTGGGATCTTCCTCCATGGCTTACTTCCCCCGCGCGGGGCTGAGCGGCCGCCTCCTACCATCGCTGGTTCGGCAGCGTTTGTAGCTCGGTCTGAGGCGAGGGAGTCCTGGGCGGCAGATGGCCGCCTCCCTGGCTGAGCTGGGTCCCTGGCCCCCGAGTCTGAGCCACGGAAAGGCAACCAGAGTCTGCCCAGGGTGGGGGGGCCGTCTCCCCAAAGCCGGCCCTGCCAAGAGGCTCAGACCTCCGCCCGCCCTGCCCCGCCCCCCCCAGCGGGCGAACTTGCTGTCTCCCTGGTTCTTTTTCCCCTTCGTGGCACTTCATGCCATGTAAGCTTTTACTTCTCTGTCTCGCCTTCCGTGTGTTATCTGCCTCGCCCTTCAGAACGTGGCTCTCATAGGGCAAGGAGTGTTTTTCCTGTCGCGTCCCAGCACCTCACACAGCCTGGTGTGAAGATGGCCCCAGATAAAGGCCGCCTTGGTGAGTGACGGAGGAGCTGCCCTTGATGTCTGAGTGGAGGCGAGGCTGCGTCAGCCTCTGCCCCTTCCGCTCGCTCGCTCCGCCGACTGTTACGGAGCATTTGCTCTGCGCTCAGCACCGAGTTTGGTAACGGTGGCTGCCATGTGGCCACTGGGTGGCTGAGGAAGGTCCCAGGCACTTCAGACATTATTTCTAATCTTTATTTATGTAACTTATTTTTGTATTTATTTATTTTTCTAGAGGAGTTACTATTAACCCCGTTTTGTAGGTGAGAGAACCGTGTGGTAGGTTCCGAGAGGCAGAGAACAGTACAGCCCGCATTTGCAAAGCACGTGCTCAGTGCCAGGCGCTCTTCCAAGCGTTTCATACGAAACTGTCCCAAAGTCACATAGCTAGGCCTGCCAGGCCACGGCACAACAGCCTTTCTGTCCACTGCTTCTCATTGCTTCAGAACATCCCACCTTCCTGTAGAAACTCCCAGTTTAGCTGGGCAAACAAAACAGACGAACAGGAAGAGTTTAAACAGCAACGAAGGTCGGACGTGATGGGAGGCTGTGGGACTGGGGCTGGGACTGGGCAAGGCGAGGGCAGACTGCCCGGTGCTGGGAGGGGGCGGGGGCGGCCCGGCTGCCCGCGGCGGGCCGGGGAAGCGGCTGTGCGGGAGCAGGGCGCGGTGCCCGGGCCCAGACGCGGTGTGCTGTCGCTTAGTCAGCACACGTTCACTCAGCAACGGCCGGGCGCCAGGCACTGTGATAGGCTCTGGGGATACAGAGCTGAAGTGAGCACGGTTGGCTCCTCCCTGGGACAAATAATGAAGCCAGTCCCGTGGGAGGGCACGTCCCCTGACAGCCAAGCACGATTGGGAAGGGCGGGTGGGCTCCGCCGCCCAGGCAGGTTTCCGACTCCCTCCTGCCGACTGCAGGGCGTGTGGATGATGTCCAGGCAGGTAAGTGCCCTGGAGAGAAAAAAAGCCTTTCCGAAAGATGGGTCCGGTGGGGGTCTTCCATCTCGAGCTGTGACCTAAAACCATCTCTGTTGGGGGCTTTGTTGTTTTCTTCCTTTCCGTCTGGAGCAGCCCCTCTTCTCGTCCTTAGTCCAGTAGCACGTTTCCAAATACTGAGCTTTTTCGGCCTCAAAGTAAGTGACTCCAGCCGAGGCTTATCCAGTGTCCACTCTGATTTTGCTACATCCACCCTGGCAGTTGGAGAAGAAAGGTCTTTTCTTTCTCACTGAGCCAGGGAAGACTTTTTCTTACTCACCGAGGTCAGCTCACGCTTGGAAAAGAGCCTCTTACGGGGACGTGCCCCTCACCTCAGTTCCTTCCTTTCTTTTCTCCTGCCTCGAGTCAGAACAGTGTTTCTGTCTGTAGATTCATTTTTACATTTTTCATGCCATAAAGATGATTTTAAAACAAGCCCACGCTTGCCTGGGTTCAGTTCGAGGCTTATGCTGACTGGCAAAGCTTCCCACGGGTTCGCCACGTGCTTCCGCGGCTCCGGGAGCCGGGGTGACTCGCGGGCTCTCCCCAAAGCGCGGGAGAACAGCCTTGACCAGAGGCTGGAGTCTTTTTCCCCATGGAGATCCACGCGGGCCTTTCTGCTGTTGCTTTCATGCAGTCGTCATTAACCATGCTTCACGGTGTTCCGAGCAGATGTTTTTCCAAAAAACATCAAAATTTCATGTTAAGAAAGCAAATGAGAAATAGTCAGGGGTGTGTAAAGTGCAGCTGAGGGAACACAGTAACAGTGTAAATACTACGTACGGTGCCAGGAGGCCCGCTTCGTAAAGTATACGATTGTCTGACCACTATGCCATACACCTGAAACCAATACAAAATAATATTGAATGTCAAGTGCAATTGAAAAATAAAATTAAAAAAGGAAAGCAAGCAAATCAGGTGACTTCATATAGGTAGACAGAAATAGAGTAAGCAGAATGAATGTAGTGCGCTCTCCCTTTTCTTTCCCCTATGTTATTTAATACTAACTAGAGCTAACACTTATTAAACACTTACTGTTTGCCAGGCCTGGGTGTTCTAAGCTCTACGGGCATGTTGTCCTCACGCCCTAATGAGGAAGGTTCTCGCTTGACAGATGAGGAACACGGGACACAAAGAATTTAAACCAAGATTCCAAGGCCTGTAAGTGCCTGCGGCAGGACTCGAACCCTGCAGCCCAGCCCCAGAGCCATCTCTGCCCTCAGGTCAGGCGGCCTCGGGAACTCTGCCCTCATCCTGCCCGTGAGCCCGAGCGGATCATCCAGTGCACTTGGGGAGACGCAGAGAGATGCCTCAAAGCAGACTGAGCGGCGGCGACATGTTCCCCTGGAGTGTTTCCTGAGAGCGTGCTCTCGGTGTGTAATTCCACCTGCCAACCGGCCCCCTGGGCCCGCCACCCCGCACGCCGCGCTGGGCTGGGGGAAGGCCCAGTGATTGCGGAGCTGACTTCTCCTCCCTCGTAACTCGCCTCCTGGGTCAGCCCGGGAGCTTCAGGTTGCAGAGGGAAGAGAACAGCCTTTTAAAGCCACCCAGCAGCTCGAGGCCAGAGCAACTCCTCTTCCCAGAGAGGATGAAGGCAGCGGTTTAAATAAATTGTTCTATAAACTAGAAATGCCACAGACTTCCTGGCTTCTGAGACTTGTGGTCTTTCCTGGCCTTTCTGAATGGTCAGACTGAAAAGAGTATCATCTGATGGGCCACCACCCTGCCTGTAGTTTCTACTGGTGCCGTACTGAGCCACCACTTAGGAGAACCCATGAAAGTCAAGTTCATCATCAAGTCTCAAGGGTCAGATTTAAAGAACTGGAGTACATGTAGGCACAGCGTTCGCGTGCTCGGTGACGCGCGCCATGAAAGAATTCACAAAGAGAGGAAGTTCAGGGAACAATGTTTTTATTCACCCTCCAAGAAGGGCGAGGGGCATGGTGTGGAGAGATCCACCAGCTCCGAGGGGTGGGGGCTGTGAGCTTTTATTGGATTATAATCGGGTTAAAAAGGGGGTGCTGCGGTGCGGCCCCGGGGCTGCTGGGCGTTGTAACAGGAGGCCGCAGCGGGTTCCAGTGTTCTCTTCCGCCTGTGGCTGTAGGGAGTGGTTAGTTCTTTTCTTGCTTTCCAGCAATTTCCAGTCCTGGGGACATAAGCTCAGAAGAGTAAAATGGCAGTCACGGTTTAACAAGGTCACAGGCCTTCTCGGCAAATCGTGCCACAATAGCACATGGGGCTGGCTTTGTCCTTTCACACAGCAAGATGATTGAAGAGAGGTTGGAATCAAGATTTCAAGGGTTTTTTGCACCTTAGCATTATACTCTCTGCAACCTTGGCAAGCCCATGGCTCAGGCTCTCAAATCTCCCAGCCGCACAGCGAGGGGAGCTCCGCCTTTAGAGGAATGTGCCACTTGAAATGTGCCCTGATGTCGCCGGGTGGAAAGGAGCCCGGAGCAGCGCTAGCAAGACCTGCTAACCTTTCAGGTCCGCGACTTCTGCAGCTGCTGATGGTTCCAGGCGGAGAGGAGGCTCACTGGTCTTTGAGTGACCGTCCTCAGTGGTGAACAGGGTTTCCGCAGGCCTCTGTGCTCAGGTCCCTGTGCGGGCAAAGGCCATTATGTCCGTACATCACAGTCATCAAATGTTAAATAGAGGCCGCCCCTCCCCGTCCTGGCTGGAAGAGCTGAGGCTGCTTTTTGGCTTCTTTATTGTGTTCGATCTTGTTTTGTAGGTGAATTGCTGCTCAAATCTCCGTTATTTAGAGGTTTACGAATGTAGGAATGTGTGGGCTTTCCACACATCAGGCGGGAACTGTTAAATAAATTATGAGAGGGGACCCTCTCAAAAAAAACAACAGAATTATCTCGTGGAGGGTGGGCCCCTTGTACCTCAGGCTTCCCCTGCTAGGTGAGTGTTGTAGGAGCACACCTGGGCCAGTGTACCAGCTGGCGTTGTGGTGAGAGGCTGCATCTGGCTTCAGTGAATTTTTCTGCAGATTCTTTCAACGCATTTGCCCATCTCACGATGGGCGATTTATAAGTGCACCTGCCCACACCACGCTGAGTGTTTAGCAGTTTTTGACCAAAAATGGCATGACCCCCATGTCCCACCTTCCCTATTCACTTGATTTCAGCACAAGTGACTTTTCCCCTCCTCTGGACGAAAAAAGTCCTCAAAGGGAAACATTTTGCCCATGTGGAAGAGGTGAAACAAAAAAATGACAGAAGCACTAGAAGGCATCAAAATTGACAAGTTCAAACACTGTTCTGAGCAGTGGAAAAAACATCTCAGCAGGTGTATTGCATCAAATGGAGAGGACTTTGAAGGCGACTGAAGTTCAAACATGTAATAATAAGCACAGTTTTTTTAATAAATAAATTCCAGTTTTTTGGGTCCTCTCTCTCATGCAGTATATCCATACTATGAACTGGTATTCAGCCAAAAATAAGCTAGATCTGTACCCGCTGAGATGAAAATATCCCCAAAACCACATCGTTTACGGAAGAAAGCGAGTTGCTCTATATAATGTAGAGTC